ACTTCGTAGCCATTGAAAAGTCCAGGCATGTGACAAACACTAGGATAAATGTCAAGATTAGAGTTAGGTGCCATCTGTGATATAGCCCGTGATACAGGTGCAGCACTGCTGATTATGATCATAATCTTTTTTTTAAGAAGGGCAAATATTTGTCACATGGTTCAGTGTTTGCTACTTAACCTGGAACAAAAGTATGGTACAGTCTTCCAAGTGCTGATTTCTCTGTACACTATGTACACTATGCTAGTTGAATGTTTGCATTGTAGCTTGAGGTATGGGTCAGATTTAGCCAACAACAAATGAAAGCTCTCAAGAAAACTTGAATAATTTGAAGTGATACTTTTCATTATGGAGAAAGATAGTTCTTATCCTAGGAAAAGATTGATGTTAAAGAAAATGGTGACTGTTTCAATTAGGAACCATTATTCCCATCTGCAAGATTTTCTTAAAACATTTAAACTCATGAATTATTCTAATTTTTATTACAATTCTAGAAATACAAATTTAAAACAGTTAAAAACTATTTTTATATACTACATATGCAGAGGTACATTTCACTTGTATTACTAAGGCCCTTCTGTGGAATTTCATTGCTGAGTATCCTTATTCTGACCACCAAATGAGCCTTTTCTTTAAATATTGTCTATAATCTTATTCCTATATAATAACACTCCAAGTCTGATAGTTCTGTGGACTAAATGGACTAAATTATTCTGTATTTCTTTAAAATATATTTGAGATATAGATGTCACTTTACTCCTATGCTAGTTTGTCATGCTGTATGTCTTTAAAATATACATCATTCTATTAAAATGATTTCTTGATCACTTTTTATATGCAAGGCATAAAGAGTATTTAAAAGATGGTTAAAACGTAACTCCCAACTCTGAAAGAGCTTACATATGTCAGTTTGTGGATATTTTACTTTAACTGTGGATATCAAATACATTTCAATTAGTCTTTCTTGTTTTTCTTTTTTTTTTGAGACAATCTTACTCTGTCTTGAGTGCAGTGGTGTCGTTGTAGCTCACTGCAGCCTCAAACTCCTGGACTTGGGTGATCCTTCTGCCTCAACGTCCTGAGTAGCTGGGACTACAGGTGCAGGCCACAATTCCCAGCTAATTTTTGTGTTTTTAGTAGAGACAGAAGTCTCACTCTTGCTCAGGCTGGTCTCAAACTCCTGAGCTCAAGCAATCATCCCACCTCGACCTACCAGAGTGCTAGGATTACAGGCGTGAGCTACCGTGCCCACCCGAGGCTTTCTTGATAATCTTATTTATGATTGCAATCACCAGTCCTTACCCTGGTTCAAGTACTACCAATTCTCTCAGCCCTGTTATTATATTTTTTGTTTAATGTTTCACTTACTAGAACGTAAGCTCCATGAGGGTAGAGATTTCTGTTTGTTTTGTTTATTGATGATCTCAAATGCTTAGAAAGGTGCTTAGTACAGAGTAGTCATTCAATAATTTTTTGCAAAATGAGTGATTATTTCATACATGTATTTTCCATATATAAAACAAACAACTTTTTTATGTAAAATAAGCAAGAGCATTCAACCTATATCCAGAAACCAGCCTTGTGTTTCCATCCCACCAGTGTCAGCCTAGTCCAGGCCACCAGCCTTTCTCTTCTGGACTGTCACAATAGTGTCTTAACTAGTAGTCCCCATGCTTTCAACTGTGCTTCCTGCCATCTAGGCTTAGCACAGAAGCCAGAGTGGTCCTCTTAGATCAGATCATGTCTCCTCACAGCTCAGAACCCTCACTCGGGGAGAAAATAAAAGACCATGGCTTATGATAAGACAGATCTGCCCTTTCCCCTTCTGCATTGTCTTCTGATTTCATATCTGGCTATCTTCTCCACCCACCACCAGTTGGCACCAGGTCCAAGACCTCTGCCTCAGGGCCTTGGCACTGGCTGTTTCCTCTGACTGGAACATACATCTCCATTTTCTTCAGTTCTGCTCAGTTGTCATTATATCAGGGGACCCTGCCCCCCAAATCATGATGAATGAAATAACATTTCCCACCCCCACATCACTCTTGCTTTAGTCCACTTTACCCTGCTTTTTATTTCTTCATAGCATTGTTACTGTTTCACATATTTATTTTTAATTTATTTGATTATTGCCTGTCTCCCCTTCAGTTAGAATGTTTCATAGGGTTCATAAAAGCATGATATCATGCATAGTATACAATAAATGTACACTTTGAATACATGGACCCAAAAGTAGAAGCATTGCTAACTTTTTTATAATATGAGACCTTTAGGAAGCCATTGTAATTAACAATATAAATCCAAAAACAGGATGTATGAATGAATAAGGCAGTGTTTATTATATTTAGGTATCAGCAAATCAAAAAATAATGCAAACAATGATAAAGTAATTATTATGAACTTTGTTTCTCACAAGTATCAGAAAGCATCTTCTTAGTAGGCACATTTGTACCAACACTGCTCCCAGGCATGCTGCCCTAGGCATTCTTCTAGAAGCCTCCTCTGAAGGTGTTGAGCAGTTATTGTCACATGTAGGAAATCTTGTTTGTAAGGTTGCTGCAGGCTGGCAGTAAGAGTGATATTTACCACATATTTCTGGAAACACAGTACAAATTACAGATTCTCAGAATGTTAGCACATAATCAGTATGAAAAGAGGTGAGGAGAACTGTTGTGATAATAAATTGTGGTCTTTATTGTCAGTATATTTGAACAAGGATTCAGGAAGTAAATTACAAATATTTAAGGTTCAAATATGGGTGTGCTGCTGTCAAAGCTGCTGATGTAGAGGATACTCACATCCTTGCCCAGTGGGCGAATCTGTGGAATCATCTTCCATCACAGGAAACGGAAATACTTCTGGATGGGAGGGAGCTATATATCTTTCTCAAGTACTTTTGCCTTTTGAGAATATATTTATTCTTTCATTCATGCCATAAGGGATTTTGTTAAGCATGAAACTCTTTGAATGTATGTCTCCCTTCCCGTTATTTGTCAATTTTATTTCCTGCAAAAATTATTTATCATCTTTCAAAAATTTGAAGTAAATGATGAAAATGCTGCTGCTTTTTTTAAAGATGTTATTGTCATAAATTCATAATTAGACTATTTGATACAGCGTCCTCACACGTTGCCTGCCTGACAGGTTGAGCCAGAAGGCCAGAGGCCCATTATCAAGGCTGTTGCTTGTATCTTTAAATGTGGGAATTAGAGCATAATTTTAAATAGAGAGCACATACCCTTGAAAACATCCAGACTCACTTTGAATTAGTCACCATAAAAAGGGAAAAAGGCAAACTAAGATTACGTTTTCTCTTGGCGTATATTTGTTTATTTTTATAATGGCATGAGAAATGGGTAACTTCAGTTAATTTTTAATCACTGCAACTTAATTATTTCCATTTTGTACATATCCCTGCTTGTTAAGATTGTAGTGCAGTGGAAAACAATTTCATCACAAGCAGTACCACTTAGGTCACGTAGATTCCTCACCCAGGAAATGACTCCCAAGCCTTTATTCTGATCCTGTGTTCTTCAGCCACTCAATTTGTCTCATATATAACTTTCCGTATGTTTTCTGTTTTTACGTCCTGCTCATGGCATTATGTTAACCAAGTGTTTTGTAACATTGACTAATCCTCTTCCTTTGTATCTCATTTGCCTCACTTTTCTGTTTCTTATTCATTTGACTGGCTAAAGCTGACTTAACAAAGAAATCCAAACTACGTATTAATTATACCTGTATTAAATTTTCATTGTCTTAGACATCTGTTAAGAGGATGGATTGTGATTATTTCCCTAAATTACTGTATGTATTATAAAAGATTTGTATTTTCCTCTGATAGAAAGCAGTGCACAAAGTTACATAAGTTAGCAGCTTTATTATTAATACATTTAAGTATTGGCAAAGCAAATCTTTGAGAATTAAGAGAAACTGTTCATATGTATGCCTGTGAATTTTGGCAAATTGTTAGACATTTTGAGCTGTGTGCAAGATTATCAGGCTTTTGTATGAGAGTCACATATCAAATTCTGAACTATATGACATGTTAGATATTGTTTTTAAAAAGTTATTCCTTCTGACAGTTGTTAAAGAATGGCACATCTTTATTCAGGACTATTGTGATAGGTATAGGGAGTACTGCATTGGGGTTTTGCAGTGGGGGAGAGAGATTGGGCTCAACTTGGAACACAAGGAAAAGGGGGAATTTTATAGCCAAGTAGCAGGGTTAGGGTGGGCGATACTCAGTGCATGGAAAATTACTAAGAAGAAACATCAGGGGTAAGGAGGCCTCGTGGTTAAACTGACCTCCCAGGACTCTAGCTGAAGGCAGACCAAGGACATCAGACATCACCTGGAGATGGTCAGAAATGAGAAATTTGGTCAGATATCGAGGGTGATCAGATATCAAGGGTGGGGGATTTTGGCTAAACTGACTTAGCAATATTCTTAATCAAAGTAATCTCTTGAGAATATGACTAATACAGGGGCTAGTTGAAAAATAGCTCAGAGGAGCTTCATTAGAGTACGGTCAAGGAGAGGATCTTTGTCAAGATTAAAAAGCTATATAAAGACTTTAAAAATTTTCTTCGGTTTTCTCTGGGCACAGTATCCTAATCATGTCCCTCATGGTGACTCAGGAAGGTCTCTCGTATCAAATTTTACCCAACTGAGAGAGTCTTGTTCTTGACAAACTTGAAGACAAAAATCAAATGGAAGATTCCACTATGGATTGAAAAACCTAACCATTATCTTAATTTTGGGGAAGAAAACAAGAAATTGAAACACAATTTTTTTGCACTGAATAGAGCTTGTGGGTTTCTGAATTTCTTGAATAAGTTAGTAATTCTTTAACATAAAAAGAAAGTCAAATATTCAAGGCCTATCTCAGTCTCTGAGGGATTTTTTTCTGAATAATATGTTAGAATTTGTTACACCTACGTGCTTTGTTGTTACTGTGCATTATGCCTGAGAACATTTTTTATTCTTTTTTTTTCCAGATGGCAGAAATGACGCTCAGGAGAACAGCTTAAGAGACTTAATAAAAGAGCTGCCAGACACCCACTACTGCCTCCTCAAGTACCTTTGCCAGTTCTTGACAAAAGTAGCCAAGCATCATGTGCAGAATCGCATGAATGTTCACAATCTCGCCACTGTATTTGGGCCAAATTGCTTTCAGTAAGTTAGTGGAGTTTTGCTGTTGATATCATCATGTCCCCTTTTCCATTTACATTACTGGGATGCAGAAGCATATTTCAATCTGAAAAATCTACCTGATTATGGTGAAGTTTCATCTTGTTGTTGGGCATTTTAGCCTTTTTTTCATAGCAAATTTGAAAGAGGCAGATACGCGTTTTTATAAAAACCATAATTTGCAATAATTCAAATAACGTTATCAAAATTCTGGCATTAAAAAGGGCATTTAAAAAAATCTATAGTCTGAAATCTGATTAACAGAAAGGGAAGGAGCATAATATAATGAGTAATTTTTTAATAGTGATCAAGTTAAAATTATTGCTGTTAGATGGAAAATTAAGAGTAGAATATGTCAGTGACAAAAATGTAACCTCAGTTTCATTCATTTTCTACAAATAAAGTAGGCTAGAAATAAACTAGCCTGCTTTGGCAGGTGTCATGTCACTGGCCACAGGAACTTTTGTAAAGCTTTATATTTTATTTTCCCTGTTATTCCTTAATGTTCTTTTGTTTTTGATATGTGAAACATGATCTTGCAATCCAGGGGCTTAGCTTTTAACTCTTCTGTTAGTCTTCTGTTCTATTATAAAAGGAACAAAGATGTAAAAAATGTAGAGTTACACTGTGTGATTTTGCCCCCATTATGTCAGAAGAGGATGTAAGAAAACTAATTCCAGCACACAATTACATCTCTGGGGATTTTCTGTTAAATATCAATATTTTGTCTTATTGAAAAGAGCAGAATTTGTGTTAGTTTTGTTATTCACTATGCCTACTAAATGGTACTGTCTGTAAAGAGACTCCAGGAGAATATACTAATAGCTGTACTAACTGAACACACCTAAACATAGAAAAGGTACAGTATAAAAGATAAATAATGATACACCTGTATGGGGCACTTACCGTGAATAGAACTTGCAGGACTGAGTGTTGATCTGAGTGAGACAGTGAGTGAATGGTGAGTGAATGTGAAGGCCTAGGACATTTGCTGTAGACTTTGTAAACACTGTATACTTAGGCTACGCAAAATTTATTACATGTAAGTAATTAATGTAAAGTAAAAAATATAAGTGTTACTACAAAATAACACTTAGCTTAAAACACAAGCACATTGTACAGGTGTACAAAAATATTTTCTTTATATCCTATAAGCTTTTTTCTATTTTTAAAATTTTTTCTTTTTAAACATTTTCGTTGCAAACTAACATGCACACACATTCTCTCTCTGTCTCTCTCTGTCTCTGTCTCTCAACTGAAGCCTACACAGGGTCAGGATCGTCAGTATCTCACTGTCTTCCACCTCTACATCTTGTCCCACGGGTAGGTTTTCAGTGGCAATAAAATGCATGGAGCTATTATGTTCTGTGGTAACAATGCCTTCTTCTGGATACCTCCTAAAGGACCTGCCTGAAGCTGTTTTACAGCCAGCTTTTTTCCTGAAGCTGTTTTACAGCCAGGTGTTTTTGTTTGTTTTTTTTAATAAGTAGATGTACACTCTAAAATAATGATGAAATTTAGTAACTACATAAACCAGTAACATAGTGATTTACTGTCATTATCATGTGTTATATGCCGTACATAATTGTATACGCTGTGCTTTTTTACTTCTGGTGGTGCAGTAGGTTTGTTTACATCAGCATCACCACAGATACATGAGTAATGTGTTGTGCTACAACATTGTGACTTACTAGGTGATAGGAATTTTTTAGCTCTGTTATAATCTTATGGGACCACCATTGTACATGCAGTCCATCATTGACCGAAATATTCATTATGCAGTGCATGGCTGTATTTTTTTTTTTTTTTTACAAGACATAAAATTCTCCCATTTCGAGTATACAGTTCAGTGATAGTAACTTCAGTGAGTGGTGTAACCATCCCCCACCCAGTTTGGGAACATTTTCATCCCTCCAGTAAGACCCTCATGCCCATTTTAATTAACCCAATCCCCAGGCAGCCACTAATCTGCTTTCTAGGTCTCTGAATTTTCCTTTTCTGGACATTCCGTATAAATGGAATTATACAGTCTACGGTCTCTTGGGTCTGGTGGTTTCGCTTTGCATAATGTTTCCTTATCTTTGACAGAGATGAATGATAACAGTACCTTCCTTTTAGGGCTGTGGTGAGGATTAAATCACTTCATAAATTCAAAGGGTTTAGCAAACCTAAACCCTTTGAATCCAACACATAGTAAATACTCAGTAACTGGTTTTTTTCTCCTTCTTTTACTACTTAATAGTATTTTTGTTACGTTTTCTTCAACTTGCTGATCAAATGCATGAAAACATATTTTAACACATAATATAATATGCTATTCTCATTGTTCTAGTCTTCTTTAAATTGTGAGTAATGTAAATCTACTAACTAACATGTTAAATAGATATTTTTGGAGTGGCATAAGAGCTTAAACATCATGCTTAATTTTGTTTTTTTCTATGAGAGAATATGTTCTGTATTCTAGGTGACTGACTTACAATGTGAATTTTTGATGCTTACTACTTGGGGACTGTCTCCGATAGATTATATTAGTGTTCTGAATTTACTTTGAAGTTAATAGAAGTCTTTTCCCTGGTGCTGTGCTGTCACAAAAACTGATGGGAAATATAAAGATAGTTAATTTTAACTATTATAAAATAAATTTCTACATTCTAAATATAGAATCCTAAATATAATGAAAATATAGTCTAAATATAATTCAGTTAATCCTAGCTGTTCTAAGTATACCCAATTTTAAGAAAATCTTTGTGAGAGTCATAAAACTGTGAGATATTAAAGAAGCTCTGTGGAATTAATTTACCCTAACGTGACCTGACAGAGTAATATCTTTTTTTTTTTTTTTTTTTTTTTTTTTTTGAGACAGAGTCTCACTCTTTTGCTCGGGCTAGAGTGCCATGGCGTCAGCCTAACAGCAACCTCAAACTCCTGGGCTCAAGCGATCCTCCTGCCTCAGCCTCCCGAGTAGCTGGGACTACAGGCATGCGCCACCATGCCCGGCTAATTTTTTCTACATATTTTTAGTTGTTCAGATAATTTCTTTCTATTTTTTTTTTTTTAGTAGAGATGGGGGTCTCGCTCATGCTCAGGCTGGTCTCGAACTCCTGAACTCAAACAACCACCCGCCTTGGCCTCTCAGAGTGCTAGGATTACAGGCGTGAGCCACTGCGCCGGCCCCAGAGTAATATCTTGATGGGATTAGAATCAAGACACTAAGAGCCAGAAAAGAGAAAAATGGTTGTGGTGAGACTAACAAGCAACAACTACTGTTCTTGGAGTTCTCATAGCATTTTGAACATATTTCTGTTTTATATCCCTATCATATTTTGTATAGTTATTTAAGCCTGTTACCATTTATCCTCTTCCTGACTCCTCCTCCAACCTTATATGTGAACTTTTAGGGCAAGAATCTGGTTTATCCATGTTAGAAGTGAAAGAGTAAGTTTGTGGTCACAAATTCATTCTTATTTTTGCCAATGATAAAGTATTAAGCTTCTCCGGAAATTGACAAAATGCTCTTCAGCTGAAGAATACAGCAATATATAGCTCCTCCTATAGTATAATGTGTTGTGCAAATTAGGTTGTCTTATTTTGGATTCTCCACCTTGATGTAGCTGTAGGCAGATCAACCGAAAACTGAATTCAGGGACTCTAACACTTTATTCTTTTTTTTTTTTTTTTTTTAAAGAAGGAAACAGCCTCCCTAATGTTTATGTTGTTTCTAAACATTTGGCTTATTTTGGTTGGGCAAAGGCTGACTTCAGAATTTGTGAATTGTTCTTATTCTCTTCTTTCTTGTGTTGCTATTTAAACACCTGGTTGCTTTTTAACACTTAACAAGAGGCCAGGCACAATAACCAAGAGGTGGAAGCAATCCAAATGTCCATCAATAAATGAATGGATAAACAAAATATGGTATATACATACAGTGGAATATTATTCAGCCTTAAAAAGGAAGGCAATCCAGTCACATGTTACAACATGGATGAACCTTGGGAAATTATGGTAAGTGAATTAAACCAGTCAAAAACAAATACTGTATGATTCCACTTATATAAAGTATCTAAAGTAGTCAAACTCATAGAAACAGAAAGTAGAATAGTGTTTATGAGGAGTTAGGAGGAGGAAGAAAGGAGGAGTTGTTTATTGGGTGTAGTGTTTCAATTTTGCAAGATGAAAAAGTTTTGGAGATCTGTTTCACAACAATGTGAATACACTTGACACTACTAACTGCACACTTATAAATGGTTAAGATAGTACATTTTAAGTTACGTGTTTTTACCACAATTTTTAAGAAAGCAAGGATGGCTAAGAGTGAAGTTTCTTTTTGGGATAATGAAAATGTTCTAAAATTGTGGTGATGGATGTACAAATCTAATATAGTAAAAGCCATTGAATTGTACACTTTCAATGAGTGAACAGTATATGAATTATGTCTCAATAAAGCTGTAAAATTTTTAAAAAGGCAAGAAGCTGAAATTCAAGTTAGTCAGGTTTGCTACTTAAAAAAACTTTTCTATGATACTCAGTGGACTAAGGTTTCGAATAAAATTACATGTACCTATACATAGCATAGAACAAAATAAGAGTAATTTGGTTTCCTTTCTCTGTACATTTTCACCATATTTTAACTAAGATGCGTTGGGATCTTGTGAGTTTATAGCTAGACTGCTGTCAGATACCATGAAGCTGGGCACAGTATGAGAACAGTTTCCTTTGAACTATTTTTGAGATAATTTTGAGACAGTGAGCTGTTTTCTTAGTGTTTTGATAGCCACCATTATGCAACCCCACTGAAACTTGCAAATGGATTGATACCATAGCAATGAAGGATTCAAGTTTTGCTTTTTTTTTCCAGTAATATTACAGGCTACGCTCTTGGTAAAGACCATGTGTTTCTTGGTATTTATTACCCTAACAGGCCTTGCCAATGTTTCTTTAGCCCATTTGGAAGCATTCCAGTTGTTCCATCTCAAGGTTTGTTTATA